AGATATTCATCGCTAAAATTTTGCCTTTCTTCACTTAATTAAAAAAAACTGCCCGCTGAAAGCGCAAATGAGATTGTGCTGATATTGATGCGTAGAATAATGACGCAGGTTGTTTCTGTCCCCTCGTCACTAACTGACAGCGTTTCTTCGGTGGACTCGTCGGCGCCACACATCAAGACGACTAAGTTACTATTTTACGTATTATTTTCATAACGCGGTTTCTGAATCAAGCGAAGAAAGGCAAACTTTTACGATTAATTTTGCGAACCTCGTTGCCTTTTCGCGAATTGTCGAAATTGTATTTGCCTTTAATAATGACTCCTTTTAAAACTGCAGTTGCGCCAAGGCCAATTAAGCCGTTAATAAACAAGTTAACTAACAGGTCTTGGTTCATTATTAAACATTGCAACGGTTATTCACCCATTCAATGTCCACCGATCCCTACAGACATAACGAAAGACAGCATCCACATATCTGCCACGTCCTTTTTTTTTTTTTTTGTAAAATATTTAAAGTTCTGTAAAGAATAAAACAAAAACACCCTGAATGTCTGCGTGAACCAGATACGCCCCCTGTGGAACCATGGGTGTTTCCCTTCGAATACCCAGCTCAGGCGAGACTGACCTGGTTGTCAGAAAGCAGCTGTCGGTTAAATGTATTGTTGTGAGCGTGTAGGTTTCAGATGGTTTACCCTCAAGAGGATAATGCGCTGCATATTGTAACCATGTATGCGCTGCACATTGTAGCCTTTATTTCAATGCCGTGCTGTAAACTATTACAACTTTTTCTTTGCCAGATCTACGTGTGCTCATGTTTTCTGCTCAAAATGATGTGAAATAGTTTCTTGTTTTCTTTGAATCTTATAAAGCATTACTTGTTCAGCCCACATTGTCTCAGTTTTTGGACTTAAGTTAAATGTTAAAACGCGTGATAAAAATTGTCACGGCTTATAAGCCATTTCTTAAAAGTGAACGTCGGGTGATTCTCAGATGGTCGTGGCAGCCACGAAGAAATAGAAGGTTCTCACCCCTTTGCGACCGTCGCTTGGGTGGTTCGTCGCATAAATGGACACAAGAATGAGTGACAAGTGAAGCGAGCTGATTAAGGTCAAGAAAAAGAAGACGGGCAGAAAAGAAGACAGAGAAGTTAACCTGGGGTGTTAAAAACATACTAAAACAATCTTGAACTTTAGTATGTACCGTTTCGTTCCGTTATAAAATAAGATAGGAAAAAAAAACGCTTCCGAGTTTTAGATATCCGTTTCAAATATCTAATGTTCGGCATTTGCGACCAAGAAAATAGGCATTTCATTTAAAATGCTCACCATCCGACAAACCGAAACCGCTTCTTTAAAGTTGCAATTGTTTTTATGTAAAGGAAGGGTAATATAGCTTGTACCGTCCTATACACTGAAGCATCATGTTGCTAACGATCGTGCCGCAGCGTAATTGATGCCGCGGTACGACCGCTGGCAGGTCGTAGCTGTATCAGAAATCCTACGTGCACTCCACCAAAGCGGCACCAAAGATTCATATTTTCGCGCGTGCAGCCGCGCATGCGCACACCTTCCGGATAAGGCGCCGGACGCGACACCTGTCGCGATCAATACCACGCGCTACAGGCGAGCCCCTTCGGTCCCAACACTACCCAAGTATTCTAGTACACTGTAGTTATGTGCTGCGCCGTGCCGCCATAATCTTCCCAAGGGCTGCACGTTGCACGAGCCTCATGCGTCGGCGCACCTTGCGGTACTTTTGAAACATGAAGGGGCTTTAATATGCCCAACACCGCCTGAGCCATCCTGAAAAACTCTTCACCGACCACTGCGATTGAAAATGTGTGCAATTACACTTGCTTGAAATAACCGTAGTGAGCGGATTGAAATAAGTTTCGGCTTACGATAATTAAATGCTTGTCAATACAAACTTGCTTCTTGAGGAGACGTAGAAAAAAGAGGTGCTCCGCATAAGTCCCTGCAGGCAGACGGCCTCAAAACTTGCGGGTCTAATTACTCCAGAAACTTCTCCAAATCAGCTCCGGAGCAAAGAGGACAACATGGCGAGGAGGGGGCGCCTCTCAGCGGGAATTAAAGCGCTGTACGTGCGGTAGAGTTCCAGCGACCCCTTCGAGCATCCGTCGCAGGGAGCAACTAGTGCCCGTGCAAAGGACGTAAGAGGTCCCGCCAGTTAACTCTAACCTAAAGCCCCTCGATATGTTTTCGTTTGTTAAGGGCCATTGTTCTTCCAACTCCTGAACGAGGCAAGGCAGTGTTCATTAGCACATTCGGCCTGAAACCTAAACACGTCTAGAGAATAACGCGGAGGACAAACTTGCGCTGGCAGAACCCAAGAATCATCGACTCAAACCACGGCGCCGCCCATTTCGATCTGGATGAGCATCGAACCGGCGTGCTAAATTTCTCACCCATGTCAAAGGAACTAGGTGCCTCTTAGGATAGTTTACGTTTCCCCTGCCTAAACATCGAACAACAAATTACTTATGGTGTATTTGCACAAACGTTTTCTAAACAGAAATAAGCAGACGTTATCGCTTTTCGAAGTCACGCGTTCCAGATCCCGAATGCTTGGTAATCCCCGTACTACGGCACTTCGCCGACAGCTTTGGATTGTAACACCGTTCCGGCGAGAAAATAATATTGCGTCGAACGAATATTCGATGTTTTGTATAAAAAAGAACGGTGGAAATTTGAAGTCGTCGCCTTCTTGCACCAACAGCGACTATGTTGGCAGTCGGATATTAGAATTAATTTTTCCTTCATTGACGTAAATAGGAGCACCGTCGGACTGTCAACTTCGATGTTGTTTGTTAAGAATGCAGCGACTTCAAGATCATCCACCATGCTTTTACAAGCATCAACAAACTAATCGCACGCATCGTTCGACGCCATCCTCCTTTACATGCCGCCGCCATGTTTCGGAACATGCTGCCGCCATGTTCCGAAACCACGAATGGTGCAAACCTTGAACTACAGATAATAGTAACGACGAAGGGGAAGCTATTTCTTTTTACTTCAAGATAAATAAACAGTTTTCTTTTAAGGTTCCATCTTCCCAATTGCGCCGGTTCTGCTTTGTCCGCCGTCATGCAGGGATTCTTCAGCTTTCAGCCTTACTCTACTCGTACGCAACTCGCGGAGAGTGTCATGTCTAAAACTCAATGACTGCGTGTCACGGTGAGACAAAAAAAGCCAGTCATCGTGGCTCTTATTTGGCACTCAAAACAAGGATAGAATAAACCGCATTCCCGCGACGTGCGCTAAAGATAGGCCAAAAGCTCATTCTGCCGTTTTCCTGCCGATTACTCTTTTTCCTTGGTTTAAATAACCGCACTCTCGCTTTTGTAACCGTAATTTCTTTGCAGCAGCTTGACCCTCTAGGTCTTGCAAGCGCTGCTTGGTGCCCCCCGAAATTCAATTAAAAAGAAATCTCTCGCTGTATACCTGGGTGACCAATTCAATAAACGTTTTCTGAAACTGAGCCTCACATGCACGTCGGTTTAGTGCCTCTGGTAGAACAATATTTCTTTGAGTTTAGAAACCTCACCTCAAGTGAAAAAAGTAATAGATTAGTAGTAACTGATTACTCAAAAACGTGTTTCAGTTACAGAATCGTTACAGTTAAAAAATGAGATGGAGTCGTTACAAAATGTCTATAAAATGTAATTAACTACAAGTAAGTTGTAACGCGTTGCGAACAAGTCTGCCCGCAATCCGCATTGTGCTATCTACGAAAAGGCCCTAATAGGGCATTCTCGTAGATCCTAAACTGCGTAATGGGGGCCTAGCGAACGTGTGCTCTGCACTCAATGTTATGGCACGTGCTCCAACTGGTTCCCGCTAGCACCGCATAGCTTTTATGAATGGCCTAAAGATTCCTCATGGTGATTCTGCTCGCTATTTTCAGTTGCGAGGTCTCTGGTGCTGGGAAATAATCGCAGACGGAAAGGGGGGTGCTCGACGTCGATGCTGACCATTTCAAGCATACTCGAATTACGTAAATCAGACGCAACAAGTAAGCATTTTCTACCTGTTACAATGTTCACATCACCTTGTATCTCCTGTTTACACTGAGTCTATTGAGACTGAACACCCATTAAGTTCATAAGTCTTTAGAGGATTGTTAATATTATTGTTTTATATCACAATTATCGTGAAGACAGCGTACTTATACCATCATGTGGTCTACGGTTCGTTGTCATTTGAAACGAGAAGACGGTCTACGGTGTTTTGCCATTTAAACGTGAACGTGCAGACGGCCAAAGGAACGTGAAGACGCACTGAACTTAGAATGATGCGGACCGCTTGGCAATTCTCCCGAGTACATGTTGTAAAATTACGAATAAATAATACCACGAGTGTCCGTGAGTTTATAATAATCATAATCTTTATTTCCCGACATGCATGTGTCTGAGGGATGCGGCAAGAGAACACATAAGAAAATTCGGCACCGGCAGATTAGACTGCTTACACATGGGAATGCGGAAGCATTGCCGTCCCTTTGGTGAAATGTTTTCAATTAATGTTTTAGACACGCATTAAAGTTCTTTCTGCTGATTCGGTGTGACGCGCGAGTGGCATCGCGCTCATTTTTTACACTCATGATGTGGAGTCACTGCCGGCCCATTGGCTGCACCGTCACGTGCCCCATGACTCAGACACAAGGTAACATCTTTAGTCAGACAAATGGCTGCGACGAGACGTGTGCAATGACGCACGCACTAGGTATATCTTTAGTAGACTTGGCAATTGATCGATTAGCCTACCGATTAATCGATTAAGGATTTAATCGCGATTATTTTTCCTTATCCATTAATCGGTAAAAGTTTGACACAAAAAAATAATTTTGCTCGACTTGGCCATGCAGAAGTGGACGAAAGCGGCTGTATGAAGGGCAAACTTGAAGTCAAATTTTAGCCTAAAGTAAAATGTCGGGGCCATATTTGGAACTCCTGACTAGCGCAGAAGGTCGCATGTGTCCCAGCCACTTGAACGGCGTTCAAGTCGTCGTCGAGGCGAATCCGGGACCTATGTCTATCGATCAGGCCAAGCAGTTTAACGACATGTTCAAACTCTTGCAAGATGTAAATGAACGTACGGTCAAGATTGACCAAGGCCAAGCTAGCCTAATTAAGTCTATTAACGAGTTAAAAAGTAAGCAAGAATCCGTCGAACTAAAGGTTACCGACATCCAAAATCGGCTCGAAGGCGTTGAGTGCAAAGTAGCAACTTTCGATGCAACCCGGGAAGAACTCTTGGCTGCCGAGGGATTAATGCAGTCTGTTATTAAGGACAACCAAAGACTGCACGAGCGCCTGAACGATATTGAGGACCGCTCAAGAAGGAGCAATATTATCTTTCACGGTATTGAAGATTCCACCTCTGAATCTTGGGAACAGTCTAAAGTAAAAATATTAGATAGGTTATCTACTTCACTTAGTCTGCAAGTTTCTGACGAATGCGTTGAACGTGCTCACAGGCTTGGCTCGTACGCAGTCGGAGGATGCAGGCCACTGATTGTCAAGTTCTCTTCTTTCAAAACAAAACAAACAATTTTGCAATCACGACCTAAGCTTAAAGCCTGCGGCATAACGGCTAATGAAGATTTTTCTCCGGCTACGCGCCTAGCAAGACAGAAACTTTTTGATTTTGGAAAATTACAAAAGAGCGTCTTCCAACTACGCTACAATAAGCTTTACGTGAACAATAAATGTTTCATGTATGAAAATGCGAACGACAGGGTGTATGAAGTTGGAAATGACAGAAGGCCGGGCAAGAGCAATTCAAATACAAGAAGCCCTGGAGGCGATAATAATCAACCTTCCTCATCGTTGCAAAATAACGTGGCACCAAACTTAAATGCCCGCGCAGCATCTGCCCGATCTGCCTTGCCCTAACATAGTGCGAGGGGTAGTGGTTCTTCTTTCGCGCCCGAAATAATTAGTGTTCTGTTTACTAATATCCGAAGTGTCATGCGAAATCGCGATGATCTATGCTCTGCCATTGACTCCACCGGGGCTGATGTTGTAGTTTTGACAGAAACGTGGCTCTCTAGCAAAATTCATGATAACGAAATCCTAACTACTAACAAACGGTTCAAAATTTATCGCACTGATAGGGAAGCTCGCCAAGGCGGAGGTGTGTTGATTGCAGTCGCCGAACATATAGATTCCCTTCATTTGAATGTTGCAAGTGATCTCGAAACAGTCTTTGTTTGCCTTTCCGTGAATCACAAAAAAATATATCTTGGGTGCCTGTTACCGCCCTCCCTCAAGTGACGATAGCTTTCTGAACAAACTTCATGACGTAATCAGTACAGTGACTTTGCGATCTCCCACACCAAACGTCATCCTTCTGGGTGATTTTAACTATAGAAATATTGTGTGGTCGGCGGAAACAGCTTACTCAAGTCCTTTTTCGTCTGACAGTGACAAATTCCTCAATTTATGTTCGGACTACAATTTCTCTCAGCTAGTGTCTCGCCCCACCAGAATTACGCCCTCCTGTGCCTCAGTGCTAGATCTTGTATTGTCAACCTTCGCCGACCTTGTTTCTCCTATTACCTATCTGCCTGGTTTTAGTGATCATTTATTGCTGCATTTCACCTTAAATATAACCACAAGTCATTCCCCGAAAATAGTTAAAACGATTCGTGATTACGGAAAAGCTAATTTTACGGCTATAAATATTGAATTGTGTGAATTTCTGAGTTATTTTGTGGAAAATTTTTTTGAACGGTCTGTAGATGAAAATTGGTGTCTGTTCCGAAACAAAGTGAACTATCTAATAAGCACATATATTCCTGTTCGCACATTATCATCCAAAAGTAATTCCCCTTGGTACAACACCAGACTTAAACGACTTTCAAATAAAAAGAAACGCCTCTTTCGTGTAGCCAAACTTTCAAAACAAGAGAGTCATTTTAACGCCTATCATTACGCCGAGCAGGAATATAAACGTGCAGTATTAGAAGTAAAACGCAATTTTTTTACTAACACGTTGCCCACAATTTTATCTACAAATGTTCGCCACTTTTGGAACTTAATCAAACCTAATGATAACCACGGTGACCTGAAGCTTACAAACACAGATGGGGAACCAGTAGGCAATGATGAGTGTGCATCATTGCTAAACGATATATTTATTCAATCTTTTTCTTGCACCGATGTTTCTGTGTACCACAACTTTAATTGCCCTGACTTTTTTCCAATGAATCCAATATTAATATCATACGACGGTATAGCTGCAATAATTAATAACCTGAAGCTCTCCTCTTCATCCGGTATTGACAATATTAACTCTAAATTCTTAAAGAACACGAAATCGTATTCATCAGCTATACTATCAATGATCTTTAAGCAATCATTGGAGGAAGGCTGCCTTCCCGAAGACTGGAAAGTTGGAAAGGTGACTCCAATTCATAAAAGTGGCAACCACTCCTCACCGAATAACTTCCGGCCAATTTCTCTAACATCCATTCCTTGTAAGATACTCGAACATATCATATATTCTAACCTCGCATGTTTCCTAGAATCGAATTCTTTTCTTCACCCTACTCAACACGGCTTCCGCAAATCATTTTCCTGCGAAACACAGCTTCTACTTTTCACTAATAAGCTTCATTCTGTCCTTGACCGTGGCTCCCAGATAGACTGCGTTTTCCTTGATTTCTCTAAGGCCTTCGATAAAGTTTCTCACCGGCTACTCCTATTAAAACTTAGCAACCTCAATATTGATCCGAACGTGCTACGCTGGATAGAATCGTTTTTAACCAACCGTTCTCAATTTGTGCATGCCAATGGTACTAACTCTTCACTGACTCCCGTAGGATCTGGAGTTCCCCAGGGTTCTGTTTTAGGACCGCTACTTTTCCTCATCTACATTAATGATCTCTCTGAATGTGTCTCCTCTAATATTAGTTTATTTGCTGACGATTGTGTACTATATAGAGAAATAACAAATAACTCTGACACCTCTGTTCTCCAATCTGATCTTAACTCTGTATCTGACTGGTGCGACAAGTGGTTGATGCAACTCAATCTTAATAAATGTAAATCCATGAGAGTTTCCCGTCATACTAACATATGCTCGAATTACTACATTGACGACACTCCGCTGCAGTCTGTGTCCTCTTACAAATACTTAGGTGTTTACATAACTTCTGATCTTTCCTGGGTAACTCACACTAACTACGTAACTAACAACGCCAATCGCATGCTTGGATATCTCAAACGAAATTTTTCACAGTCACCAGTGTCACTAAAACTCCTTTTATATACTACTTTAGTACGTACTAAACTTGAATATGCATGTTCTATCTGGGACCCCGGTCATAATACTATCATTGAAACATTGGAATCGGTTCAAAATCGTGCAGCACGTTTCATACTCTGTAATTACCATCGTACATCCAGTGTTACTTCAATGAAAAATACCCTTGGTTTACCCACACTAATGAACCGTAGACGCATTTTTCGCCTCACTTTATTTCACAAGATTTACCATAATAACCCTTTCATGCGCCATGAACTTCTAACGCCACCTACTTATGTTTCATCCCGCGTAGATCACCAGTACAAAGTCGGTATCCCCAATTACAAAACTAACACTTATTATAACTCCTTCGTTCCTCGTACTAGCTCCGATTGGAATCGCCTTTCCGCTGACATAGCCTCCATAACCAATATTATTGATTTTAAAAATGCCTTGTTTGTTAGTTTTCATTAACCATTTTCTAGTTGTTATTACTGTTATAACATTGTGTAAATATTTTTGAAGTGTCTAAGCAAGCGTGCATTAATTACTGTATCATATTTCATGTATCAACAACTGTACCCTGTCACCTAATCCCCCCCCCCCCCCCCCCCACTCCCCTCTGTAATGCCCTTCGGGGCCTTGAGGGTAAATAAATAAATAAATAAATAAAAAGTCTCCGTTCAGCGCAGCAGAGACTATTGTGAGCATTCAGAGCAGGTCGCTCTTGGCGGAGAATATCAACGAACCTCTTTTCCTCATGCGGCTGAATCTGCGAGTGCTTTTGAACATCTTTTGAATCACACATCGAGGTTGATTCATTATTAAAATTGCATATGCATCGCGCTCTTGACCACATGTTCAGCAAAAGCAATATAAAACGCACACACAAAAACATCATTTATGACTGTTTTCAAAGATTATGCGTGAAAATTACCAACACCGATTAATCGATTAATGAATCGATTAAAAGGTGGCGATTAATCGGGTTAAAATTTTAATTGACGCCCAGCCCTAATCTTTAGTAACCAGAACCACGGTGTTTGCCGGAACCGTGGAGCCGCTCTGGGAAGCGTGCCCGTCTTGCACCCCGGAGGCCCGTGTTCAATTCTCACCCTGACCGGAGTGCACTAAAGCTTTTTTTCCCAAAGCAATTTTGTTTACAGGAAGCTCCCTGGGAAATGTGACCTCAATCCGAATGTTTTTTACGTATTTTGCTGTTTGCGCCGTCGGCCATTCTTGCTACCATCGCTCGTCACGCCGCCGACGACGCCGGACTTTGCGTTATGGGGCAAATAATCTTTTCACATTACAAATCCTCTGCCAAAACCATCAGCCCCTTTTTACAGTAGTCGACGGTGTGCAGGACCAGTGTGATCATAAAAAGCAATTATACAAAAATATTTAAATTTACATCAGCTAAGCATCGCACTCACAATAACTCATATCAGCGCCATCAAAAGTTTCAAATAGAAATCATTCACATTGACGTTATTGAGATAACATTCGTTAACACACAATGTCAACGTTACTGTAAAATTGTCCATTTATGTCGCATTCAAACAGAAAATATATAAAAATATACACGAAAGACCATAATATATTTTCTCAACATCAAGTTATCTATAAAAGTAATTTTTAATAAAACATAACCAACGCACTATAAAAAAAACACTTCGAAATCTGTTACTCTTTCGCGGAACAATTTTTAAGTTTAGGTCACTAAGGCTAAAAAATAGGCTTTTCCTATTTTCTTGAACGTCCGGATTCTTCGACTTTTGTGTACTATTTCAACAATATTGGGGTGGTTATTTAGAAGGTCAGATAATTGGTACTCTAGTTTATTCAAACTATAATCAAAATGATGAGTTTGAGAGAGCGCCTCTCTGAACACCCGTCATGAAAAAGTCTGCTATTGTTAGTTTTATCATAAATCAAAATGCAATCGAAGACTACATTTGATACCATTCTTCACTGATTGATTGAATATGTTTTTAATTCTTGCATAGTTAAAACGATAGCTACTGGCTCGTGAGCCTCTAACGAAATCGCTTTGCCAACCCTGCAGCGCGAAACAAAGCTAGTATTAAAGAACAAAATTTGCCCAACTTGGCACTCTCACTCGGGTAGATGAGCTAGCTGGGCTCCGCTTCTGGGTGAGCTGGGCCAACACCACCTAGTCAGAAGGCCTCCGCATGGTTTCCTCTTCCTCTATGAAACGTCATCACAGTCGGATCGCGCTCGGTCGGCTATTGGACCCGAGCCCGACCTTCGACGCGCTGATTGGCCACGAGCCGCAGCCGAACACTGGCGCAGCACTCGTGCCCAATCTCTCGCCTCGATCGATCTGACTATGATGACGCGTGTGGAGGCCTTCTGTCTAGGTGGTGTTGGCTGGGCACTCCTAGCACCACTGGCACGTTTTCTGGCAGATGTGTCAGCGAGAGCACGTGCTGAGCGCTAAACGTGCACGTGCGAGCAGCAGAAAGGAGGAATTTAAGAGCAGAGGAGGAACATCAGTGGCACGCGAGCCAGTTTTCCGGCCACGCTAGAGTTCCTGTATAGGAAGTATTCACTGGCGGCCATAGCTCTGTGCGCGACTGCTGAGCGCGTGCTGATGGCGAGCTTCCACAGTTCTTTTGTAACGTGCATTCCGCACCCTCAA